TTGGGAGAGGGGGTGAGAACACTCGCCTTCACCAATTAAAACAAGGTTAAAACTCAGAGAGGCTAGCACCGCTAGCTCAACTGGTAAGAGGACAATTGGGAGAGGGGGTGAGAACACTCGCCTTCACCAATTAAAACAAGGTGAAAACTCAAGAGAGGCTAGCACCGCTAGCTTAGCTGGTAAGAGGACAATTGAGGGGGTGAGAACGCTCGCCTCCACCAAATAAAACAAGGCCAGGAACTCAGCTGGCTACGTAATAAGCAAACTTCGGAGCACAGTCCAACCGACCACACGGTTGGAGGCCTCCAGTAAACAGGAGCGGAGCGAACGCTACCGCTAACCAATAGCAAAATATAAGCAAAAAAACCCACTACTCACCAGTGTTAAATCACACACATAGTAGTCATAAACAACGTCGGAGCACAGTCCAGCCGACCACGCGGTTGGAGGTCTCACAACAAGCGTGAGCGGAGCGAACGCTACCGCTAACCAACGGCGAAATATAAGGAAAACACTACTCACCGGTGTTGAATCACACACATAGTAGTCAGACGCTGTAAGTTGGGAGAGGCGGAAACCTCCGTAGTCCCCAACGAAACAGCAGAAATACCTTTGAACAGGGTTAAACCGTTGCAGCCCTAGGAGGGCGAACACGCTACTCCCGCAGACGGGCAGTCGGGCTTCCGACAACGGTAAAAAGTTCAGAAAAGGTCCAAAGGGCTGAAGCCCTGAATTGAATCGCGCGCAAGAAGAAAAAAGGAGCAGAGCAGCGGATGACGTTGGGCTATATAGCCTCTGATTGGTCATCTGTGTCACACCCGTGACTCCATTCGTATTATTACTCGAACAGCGCATGCGCAAAGGGAACATTCAGTGCTTTCAGCACCGCCCTCTGGCGGTCAGGAGGGATGAAATAGAACCACAATAGCGCGAGTCCATGAAAAACGAGCCAAGAGGTAGCGAGGGACTACTGTGTACTGTATATATATTACACACACACATACACACAAAAACTTCTTTCACCTGAAGAGCATGCTTGCTTGCCGAGTACCCTGTCATCAGGGGTGCCCCCATGAGACCAACTACACTGCTGACGGTCACAATGCTCCCTCTGCCTCTCTGTATCATATGAGGCAGCACCCGTTTGGTCATAGAGACTGTACCAAGGAAGTTGAGCTCCATCAGTGCCTCATATACTTCAACACTGGTCTCTAAGCACAGAGAGCGCTGACTTCGGCCACCATTATTAATCAGGACATCAATCTGATGATGAATAGAAAAACAAAATGCAGACAATTTGGAAAATGTCAGGATTTTAAATCAATTTTACCATTTTAAATTAGCTCTACAAATTAAATATACTTTAAGTGAAAAAATAAAAATCAAACAAATGGCATAGCCTTACATGCCCAAAGTACTGAATCACAGTGTTTGTTTTTTCTTCGTGTGACGTCCTCTTCAATAAATCAAGCGGAAGAACAAGAATATCCTCGCCCTTAAGGTCAGAATTCTCTTGAAGAATAAACAAATAAATAAATATGTCTGATCACAGCTAAATGAAACAATAAAAATACCATCATATGTTATGTTAGTCCACTGCAGTGTTGCACCTGTACTGAGTGAAGAATTTATGATAAAATGAGAAAGATCTAAATAAAAAAAACACATAAAATGCTTTTAAGAAAACAAAAAATTTCTAACCTAAACAGTGACGTTTCACTCTTGTTAGTTCCTCCTCACGTCGAGCTGACAGGATGAGACGTGAGCCACACTTTGCCAGCTGATAAGCAAGCTCTTCTCCAATTCCACTGGAGGCTCCAGTGACCCACACCACCAGGCCTTTCAGCTTGGTTTCTGGTCAACACAAATCAAAGCATGCATCATTAATGTTAGGACATTCATCTGTGATTTTCCTGTAGTGACTCGCCAAAGTATCTGCCGGCCTGCAGGAGTTCTCGTCTGTGTGACTGCTGCCAATTTACTTACAGCTCCAATTCTGAAAAAGTTGGGACATTGTGTAAAATGTGATAAAAAGCAAATCCCATATTTTATACACAATGGAACTCAGTAAACATATCAAAAGTTTAACTTGAGCATTACCGTACATTTATTTATTTATTTAAATAAGATGACTTGATGGCAGCAACACACCTCAAAAAAAGTTAAGACTAGGGCAACAAAAGGCTATAAAAGTATTTGGTCTAAATAAAAATTGTTGGAAGAGTACTTTGCAATGAATTAGGTTAACTGGCAGAAGGCCAGTAAGAAGTCTACGTATAAAAAGAGCATTTTAGAAAGGCTGAATCTCATAAGTAAAGATGGACAGAGTCTGCAACAAACTGTTGAAAATTAATGGAACAATTTCAGAATAATGTTCCTCAATGAACAATTTGGAAGACTTTGAACATCCCAGCATTATCAATTTCAAGAATCTGGAGAAATCTCTGCACAAAGTACATAGATAAAATCAAAATTAGATGCTCAAAATATTTGAGCCCTCGGGCGGCACTTCACAGGTCTGACTCAGCTATTCACATCACTGCATGGACTCAGACACTTTCACAAATCACTGTCAGTAAGCATGGTTCATCATGTTATCAACAGTGGTTAACGCTCCTGCTGCCCTTAGGTTAAAATGACCCAAAAGGCCTCAGAGGGGATGCCTCAGTGGTCAACATTGTCCTGTCCAATCCTTTTAATCAAAGTGATGAAGCTACCAAATTCAAAATGACCTGATTTGATATGTTTACAATGTTCCATTATGGATAAAATATGGATTTACAGTATAGTTGTGAATGAATGCATTCTGGTTTATGTTTATATTTTACAAAATGTCTAAATTTTTTGGAAGTTGTGGTTGTAAAGCAGATTTCTTTTTTCATGCTTTTTACTTTTCCACACTGTGAACACTTCACAACAATTTTCATTATAATGAAACATTATAAAGTTATTGTATTAAAATATGGAACAATAACTAACTGCTGCTTATGTTACAAAACTATATTAATTCTGCTGTAACGCATTTAAATTTGACCTTACACAATTCAAAATGTTACCTTTAAAAGATGGGTTACATCTACACCAAACTGTTATTTTAGTCTGAAAACAGCTGCGTGCCGTCATCGATGTTACTTTTTCACAATTTCCTTGCACAACACATCATAAATTCATCATAATGAACTCACTTTGTAAGAAGGCTCATCAGAGAATGCATTTTTATTGGAAGCTCTAGTTTAAATTTTGTTTCTACTTTTATGATAATTTTTTTCATGTTTTATCGAGTCTCTTTAAATTTGATCGGTTGTTTTGGATTTATAACATGTAAAAACAGGAGCAAACTCTTGGGGCTTGTCAGGATGTGTAGTAAAATGTTGGGCAAATCCCTAGGAACCTCACTGACCTTCACAAGGTTAGGTCAGTGAAAAGGCCAGACTGATCCTGATCACCTAATTCAAGGTGAGTTTAGCATAGTTTTGTCCAAAAGGCATCAGTTACAAAGATGCAGAACTAACAGATTAACATTTATCCCTACAGCAATCAGGCTTCTTAATGAGCAGTTCTGATTCTAGTATTGTAATTTTACAAACAGGATTCCAAAAAAGTTGGGATACTAAACAAATTGTGAATAAAAACTGAATGCAATGATGTGGAGGTGCCAACATCTAATATTTTATTCAGAATAGAACACAAATCACAGATCAAAAGTTTAAACTGAGAGAATGGATCATTTTAAGGGAAAAATCTCGTTTCCAAATTTCATGGCATCAACAAATCCCAAAAAAGTTGGGACAAGTCCATTTTTCAAACCACTGCATCGACCTTTCCGCTCTAACCCTGTCAGAAAAACAAAGAGTCACTAATCTGGGAGTGATAATGGACCCTTCCCTGAAACTTAATAATCATATAAACATGATTGTTAAATCATGTTTCTTCCAACTGAGGCGGCAACAATGGTGGAATTGATCCTCTTACCATCTTGGCTTCTGATAGACACTGACACTCTGAGAAGCTCTTTTTATACCCAATCATGTTGTCAATAGACCTAATTAGTGTTAATTGGTCTTCCAGCTGTTCGTTATAGCTCAATTTCCTTTTTCCAGCCACTTATTGCTACTTGTCCCAACTTTTTTGGGATTTGTTGACACTGTGAAATTTTGAATCAACATATTTTTCCTTTAAAATGTTACAATTATTCAGATTAAACTTTTGATCTGTCATCTATGTTATACTACGAATAAAATATTGACATTTGCCATCTCCACATCATTAAATTCAGATTTTATTCAGAATTTGTTTAGTGTCCCAAATTTTTTGGAATCCAGTTTGTAGTTACATTGGTTGGTCATGTTTGCATGTTTTGTATATCTACTGATTGTGAAACAAATTGCCCCTTGGAATAATAAAGATTATTGAGCTTGACTTCCATTTGAAAGTTTCTATAATTAATGTTCCAAAATGGAAAAGAAACACTTTTTTTTCTGTATCTCACACTTTTAAAACTCACCTGGTTTGTTTCCAATCAGACTCGCCCGAAGCAGAGTGAAATCTGCATCTACAAAAATGAAACACACGAAGTGAACGAGCAAATAAAATGGTACAACATACCACAGGACATAGGTTATGCACCAATCCATTTCTTAGAAAGAAAAGCGTTTAACTGCGTCACTGAAGTATTGCCAATGTGAGTAGCAAGCTACATTTCAACATAAACGTAAAATGCTACAACTAAAAGCTAATTGCGTCACTTCCTCTGAGAGACTTTCAGTACAAAAGTTTCGAAACAACAACAGAAATCTAGACGACCACACAAATCGTCTTTATATGTACTGTACTGTATTTTGAATTACCACAAGGTCTTCTGTCACTCTCTTTAATTAATTTGAAATATATTAAATTAGTTAAATTAAATTAGTATTATACTATAATAAAAGTGGTTTGTGCATGTTTACTGCAACATCTGAATGTCAGTATGTTTATTTTCCCCATTTGTATTCAGAATGGAAAGACCCCTCAACATCTGCTGTGTCAGTTGACTGTCTATAATAATTATTATTATTGTTGTTGTTTTTGTTGCTGTTATTGTTGATATTAATATTACTATTTACAATATTTTTATTTTGGACTATGAATAAATATATTACTGATAGAGTATCTTAAAAAAAAAGTGCGTTTTGATAATGCCTTCCATAGCGCGCGCAGCTACAACTACAGCAATGATGTCATGTTTTCGAATATACGCAGCCTGTAACATCCGGGTCCTGCGCCTGTAGCTCTTCAGAAGCTAACGTTAGCTGTCAAGCTGTCAAGTGGAGAGACTGGTCTTGAGTGACGACAGCTCGTCGCTAGCTCACAAGCTAGCTTAGCTTAGCTACCACACACCTGTATTTCGTCGTTGTACAGGTCCTTCTAAAAAAATTAGCATATTGTGATAAAGGTAATTATTTTCCATAATGTAATGATAAAAATGAAACTTTCATCAATCAATCAACCTTTATTTAGACAGGTAAATCCCATTGAGCGAAGACTCATTTACAAGAGAGACCTGATTTCAACATATATTCATATATTTCAGATTCATTGCACACCAACTGAAATATTTCAGGTCTTTAATTGTTTTAATACTGATGATTATGGCATACAGCTCATGAAAACCCAAAATGCCTGTCCCAAAGAATTAGCATATTTCATCCCACCAATGACAGACAAGTGTTTTTAATACAAAAAACACCAACCTTCAAATAATCATGTTCAGTTATGCACTCAATACTTGGTCGGGAATCCTTTTGCATGAATGACTGCTTCAATGCGGCGTGTCATGGAGGCAATCAGCCTGTGGCACTGCTGAGGTGTTCTGGAGGCCCAGGATGCTTTGATAGCGGCCTTAAGCTCATCCAGAGTGTTGGGTCTTGCGTCTCTCAACTTTCTCTTCACAATATCCCACAGGTTCTCTATGGGGTTCAGGTCAGGAGAGTTGGCAGGCCAATTGAGCACAGTAATACCATGGTCAGTAAACCATTTACCAGTGGTTTTGGCACTGTGAGCAGGTGCCAGGTCGTGCTGAAAAATGAAATCTTCATCTCCATAAAGCTTTTCAGCAGATGGAAGCATGAAGTGCTCCAAAATCTCCTGATAGCTAGCTGCATTGACACTGCCCTTGATAAAACCCAGTGGACCAACACTAGCAGCTGACATGGCACCCCAGACCATCACTGACTGTGGGTGCTTCACACTGGACTTCTGGCATTTTGGCATTTCCTTCTCCTCAGTCTTCCTCCAGACTCTGGCACCTTGATTTCTGAATGACATGCAAAATTTGCTTTCATCCGAAAAAAAGTACTTTGGACCACTGAGCAACAGTCCAGTGCTGCTTCTCTGTAGCCCAGGTGAGGTGCTTCTGCTGCTGTTTCTGGTTCAAGAGTGGCTTGACCTGGGGAATGCGGCACCTGTAGCCCATTTCCTGCACACGCCTGTGCACGGTGGCTCTGGATGTTTCTACTCCAGACTCAGTCCACTGCTTCCGCAGGTGCCCAAGGTCTGGAATCGGCCCTTCTCCACAATCCTCCTCGGGGTCCGGTTACCTCTTCTCGTTGTGCAGCGTTTTCTGCCACACTTTTCCCTTCCCACAGACTTCCCACTGAGGTGCCTTGATACAGCACTCTGGGAACAGCCTATTCGTTCAGCAATTTCTTTCTGTGTCTTACCCTCTTGCTTCAGGGTGTCAATGATGGCCTTCTGGACAGCAGTCAGGTCGGCAGTCTTACCCATGATTGCTGTTTTGAGTAATGAACAAGGCTGGGAGTTTTTAAAAGCCTCAGGAATCTTTTGCAGGTGTTTAGAGTTACGTCGTTGATTCAGATGGTTAGGTTAATAGCTTGTTTAGAGAACCTTTTCATGATATGCTAATTTTTTGGGACAGGCATTTTGGGTTTTCATGAGCTGTATGCCATAATCATCAGTATTAAAACAATTAAAGACCTGAAATATTTCAGTTGGTGTGCAATGAATCTGAAATATACGAAAGTTTCATTTTTATCATTACATTATGGAAAATAATGACCTTTATCACAATATGCTAATTTTTTGAGAAGGACCTGTACACCTTGTGGTGTAAATTGCGGACACTTGGTCCCCGTCGCAGATTGAGCAACTGTCAACTGGTGTGTTAGTTATTTGGTAAGTAAAATATTAATTTTTTTACACAACATTTACAAGGGGCAAATGGGCAGTTGGCTACCTCTGCTAAATTAGATAGTTGGTAGCAGGGCCGACGGTTTTGCTCGCCTCAACACAACATGGTGTAGAAAGAGACAAGGTTCAAGGCCCGCTAAGAGGAAAGGCAGTTTTTAAAAATGTAATTTGAACGTGGTACATATCTAACTCGCTTTTAATCCAGCTATCTAAGCGGTTCTTTTAGCGCAGGCCCATCCTAGCTTACAACTCTAGGATCTAATACTTTCGTGTTTTCTACTGATAATCGAGAAACTAGTCATGTAGGTAGCTCTACGCCTCTGATATTAGTCTAATTACGTGTTCAGAATCGCGAAGGTCTGAGGTTTGGTGCATGAAAATTTAAATAGACACGTTATTTTTTATTTCTCTGTAAACGGAATGTAGAACTTGAATACATACATATTTAATTCTTAGAGGTTTCAATTCGTTGAACACCAAGTAACGTTCCTAATAAGTAGCTATAATGTGTTCTCGGGTTTACTATTAAGACTGGAGCAGAGGTCTAAACCCAGCTCCAAGATGCTTATCTTGTACCACAAATGGGTGGAAGTCGTGATATCTGTTTATACTCAGTTGGAAGATTAAGTGTGTGTTTTTCTGTTAATACCCAGTCACACATTACTATTCTTGTATTACTACTCATTTCTGTGGGAGCAGAAACTTCCTTCACCAGTCCTAGTTACATCTACAGGCTCTACTGCGGAGATGTACCATGGACTGAAGGACTCGACTGGCTGTCCTCAAGCAAAGAACTTTATCAGCTCACACTTCAGGCGTTCAGGTAAAATTGTTCATGATCTCCATTATTTATTTTGATCACAAAATTTACCACTTCATTTATCTTCAGGTTTAATTTCAAGCTGCTGTTTGATCAGGCAAGCCTTGGACCTATGGAGTCCCCCGAGGAGTTCTTCAGCACTTTAGAGGAATATGAAAGGGATTGGTACATCGGCTTGGTGACAGAAAAAGGCTGGCATGACAGTGTCCTCCAGGAGAAGCCCTCCTTATTCTCTCTGGGACATGACCTCACCATGGTAACTGAACATATCAATTTTCATTTGTATGTTTGTAATGTTTACACCTTTCCTGCAATCTACTCCTATTTGTTTGCTGGTATTAAATTGTTCATTTAGGAGTTTTAAGTTTAGTTCTCTGTAAAATATTGACACTTTAACTGTTTTTGTCTATAGGGTACCTACACAGGGCGAGTGCTGACCCTGCAGGAGCAGCTGATACAGGTGGGCCGTCTGAATGGAGAGGGAGTTCGAGGCCAGTGGGCAAACCTTTCTTGGGAACTCTTGTATGCTACTAATGATGATGAGGAGCGGTACAGCATTCAGGCTCACCCGTTCATGCTTCGAAACTTGACTGTTCAGGCAGCTGATCCCCCTCTAGGATACCCCATTTACTCATCTCCCCCCCTTCACTTCCCCTGCCTATGACCTGTGGCGCTTTTTACACAAGAAAGAGGAAAGACATTTCTCTGTTTGGTAATAGCAGGAGAAAACTTTTGAATTTTTGACCCAGAAGTTGTGGCGAGTATTGTCTTTATGGAAACCCAGATCGTTTCTCACATTATTTAAACTTCTTGGTTCTTTATGTAATGAACTGCAGAGGAAAGGGCACTAACCATTTTCAAAATATTTCAGAATTTGACTTATTTATACTATGGTCTACTTCCTCAGAACATAAAAATACAATAATTTATTTTCCGTATCAGTTACCCAAGAATGATTTACCACAAAGGTTTTGTGGTATATTAAAAGATCAACTTAAAAACTGAAAAGGAAAACTATTTGCATTCTATAGGTTTCATGCTTTTTAAAATAATGTACCAATAAAAGGGACAAAAAACTGAATGTTTAAAGAATATCAAGGATGTGCCTTGAGTACGTCTTGCTCTGTGTACAACGTTCAGTGCCGTTTTGTTTACAATTCAGTTGTTTACAGTTAGGGAGTTGAATGTGTCCACAGTTTCTTGTACATATTGTTAGTTTTTATATGTGTAACTGTACATAATTGTAATAAAATACGTTGTCACAAACAAAATTTTCCATTTTCATTTAGACCAACTTTAAGTGGCAATTTTTTTTATATTTTATTATGCAGAAGATCAGTTCAAAAGCATGATTTTTTACAGATACAGTAGTCTGCAGACCTTGCATTTAGAAGTTGTGCATCAGAAGTGAAAAAAATTGAATTAAAAAGTTGATTCACATTTGAGATGGAAAAGAACACAAAGATTACAGACAAGTTCTTTCATTCTTAAATGTTTCTGTCTAGAAAGTAATACACATTTAAAGTTGGGAATGCAATCAAGTGAGTTTTCTTGAAGATGAGACATTCAGGAGGTCTTTGGTTTAGTGAAGTATGCAGAGTCTGCATCCTGCAACACAAAAATACAAGATGTTAACCCTGATTTAATACTACAGTAAACAAAATTAAAATCTTTTTTATTGTAGTGAACTAGGCCTCAGACAACAATCTGTCTCTGAGGACCTTCA